AAGAGTATTAGAGGAGGCTATAAGGAGAAGAGGTTTAGGGTTAGTGGTAAGAAGAAAAAAAGAAGAAAACAAAGAAACAAATAAAAATAAAAATAAAAATAAAATAAAAAATATAAAAAATAAACAAAAAGACTCATATAATGATCCCGAAGTGCAACAAAAAGTGCAGCAACTAATAGAAGAAGGTCTATGGACCCCAGGAGATGAAAACGAGTATGAGCTCTTCCTAGACCCTCTAGCAGGCAATACAGGTATTTATTTATTTATTTATTTATATTTATTTATTTATTTATATTTGTATTTATTTATATAAATATAGCTGTGAAAAAATATATAAATTTGTGTTTATATTGATGTATTTATTAATATTTATATATAAGGAGATGAAAACGAGTATGAGCTCTTCCTAGACCCTCTAGCAGGCAATACAGGTATTTATTTATTTATTTATTTTTATTTATTTATATTTATTTATTTATATTTATTTATATAAATGTAGCTGTGAAAAAATATATAAATTTGGGTTTATATTGATGTATTTATTAATATNGTATGAGCTCTTCCTAGACCCTCTAGCAGGCAATACAGGTATTTATTTATTTATTTATTTATATTTATTTTTATTTATTTATTTATATTTATTTATTTATTTATTTATATTTATTTATGTTTATTTATTTATATTTATTTATATTTTTTTATATATAAAAAAATATATATAAATTAGGGTTTATATTGATGTATTTATTAGTGTAGATGTAAGGAGACAAGCACCAGTATGAGCTCTTCAGGTATTTATTTATTTATTTATTTATTTATATTTATTTATTTTTTTATTTATTTATTTATATTTATTTGTTTATTTATATTTATTATTTATTTATATAAATATATATAAAAAAATATATAAATTTATATGTATGAGATAGATATATGAGCTCTTCTTACACCCTCTAGCAGGCAATACAGGTATTTGTTTATTTATTTATTTATTTATATTTATTTATTTATTTATTTATTTATATTTATTTATTTATTTATATTTATTTATTTATTTATTTTTTTATTTATATCTATTTATTATTTATATATGTATAAATAGATGTGTATAAATATAAATATAGCTGCATATAGTTTGTATATGAACTCATATAAATAAAAAAAAAAATATATATATATATATATATATATATATGTATATATATAAACAT